TTTGAGGCCAAAATCGGCCCTTACCGGACCTACTCCTTTCAAGAGTCTATCCTAAACTGAGGGAAATTATATGGCCTTCAAAATACCGTTTCGATTCCTAACATCACTAAAGAGACATTAATTGTCGAAATCCGGATATGGTGTACTAATTTTTGCACCTTTTGTTTACGGTACACCATCTTTTCCGCAAGGTCATTGTTTTCTGTTTGGTATTCAATTAATAGTTAAGATCCAGTTTGTTAAATCTGGTGATCCGTTTATTTGGCAATCGCAAATGACAGTCAGCAGGGTTTAAGAACATCCGTTGTTCGACCTGCTAGTCAAATTTGTTTTGTTAAAATATACTTTTTCACTTTTTTGGTCTTTTGGAAAATGTTGTTTGTGCTGTATTTAGACCCCTCTACCAAGAAATTTGTTTTGCATGCACTCGTATAAAAATTGCGGTTTTTATCCAACGCAATCATAGGTTTAAACGTTGTTTCCAATTTATTTATATATATATATATATATATAGATAAGACCGTTGGTTTTCCTGTTTAAATGGTTTTACACTAGTGATTTTTGGGGCCCTTTATAGCTTGCTATTCAGTGTGAGCTAAGGTTCCGTGATGAAGACCGTACTTTGACATATATTGGTTTACTTTTACAAATTAGGACTTAGATGGAGACTTGTCTCATTTGCACTCATACCACATCTTCATGTATGTATTCATTTGAATTATTGTCCTTCCCAACTTCAATTAACCGACAATTTTCTGTATGCAGTGCCCTTAACTACGAGACCTCTCGTCTTTTTTACCTGTACCAGCTCGGATATGGTTGATTCTTCGTTAGGAGTTTCACAATTATTTTATTAGTATAATGCGGTTACAATTATATATTTGCTATTGCTTTCACGAAAAGGTAAATCTGATATATTTAGATTTTTAAGAACAGGGTTTCTCGAAGATAAAAACTATTTCTATAATTATTGTAAGTCTTTGTTCAGCCTAACATAGCAAACTATTAACCTGTTTAAAGGTAGTCTTTAGAAATGAATACCGTATAATTTTCATATAATTTGCAGACGACTTTGACAGAACTTCTTTTTGTATTCAATGTAAACAAGATAGCGGCGAAAATAACACAATCTGGCTCGATGTTAAACAAATTTATTTTCACTTCGCGTTAATCGTTAAATTAAATAATAAACACAAAACATTCATTTGAATGATATGATAATAAGAGTTTTTGTATTAATTTTTTTTTTTATTAGATTTCAAATTTCAAGGAGTACATATTTTTGCGTTAACAAATATATTAATGCGCCAGGCCAATTCAATGACACAAATATACAATTTACGGTTGATAGAGGTTACACTTGTAAAAAAATGAATTCCTCCCCTCCAATTTTAAAGAATTATAAGGATTAAACGCCCTTTTCATGGAATTTATTGGTGTATAAACTCGACTAGTTCACTCACAAATAAATAAAGTCCGAAAGGCGTTTAATCCTATAATAATCGATACACGGAAACAATTGTAAATCACAAGATTCGCATTTCGATAATAAATGTTTCTTTAGTGATGATCGAAGCTAACATATTTGAATGGCTGACCACGGTTTTCCAAACTCCGGGAAATAACACAACAATTAATATCAATGCACAGATGTGAGAGTCACTCTATCTATTTAAGCAATAAACAAAACAACAATTAACATCAGTTATAGATCAAAACACAACAGTTTTCTACTTTGCAACCATGAGTGGTCAAAATAGTGAAAATCCGGCCAGTGACAAAATGGCGGGCTCCTATGTCTTAGCACTTAAACACAACAACATTTATAAAGATAAAGCAGACCCTGATGGTGAAATATTCAACGTCAAGCCTGTATTCATTTTAGAATCAGACATTTTCGGTAGCTCAAAACCTGATAAAAACAATTATCTTACACATACCGAATTATTCAAATGTATTGATCTTACCATACCAGCTAACTACCTAAATGGTCTTCAGAGAGTCATTGGAGGGGTATGGCGGATTTACCCAGACAGTGAGGAAGACCGAGAAAGTCTTGTGGTTAATTCGATAACAGTTAGGAAAAAGCGCATTGAGGTATACCCAAGAAATCCAAAATACGTTGAAAAAGAAAGCCCAACCACAGTTAGAATTAGAATAAAAAATAATCCACTATCCGCTGATGATGGGCAATTGGTAAGGTACCTACAAAATTGGCACCTCGAAGTACTCAACTACCACAGAGAGAGATTAAGAATTGATGGGCTCGTGACAAACTGTCAAACAGGTGACCGAATCTTTTATTGTGAACCCTTTCTCCACACAATTCCAAGAAACGTCAAAATTGGCAAATATCGTGGACACATTTTCTATAAGGGTCAAATAAATCAGAACAACACAGAAATTGAATGTACCAAATGCCTGCTAAAAGATAAAAAAAAACAGACTGTAACAATGACTGGAAATGCAAGACATGTGGTGCAAATGGGCACATTTCTAAGGACTGCACAGCTGAGTTTAATGAGAACAGTCAAGTTGACTCAGAAGTATCGTCAGAAGAGTCAGATGAAACAAGTGAAGATGAATCTGAGAAAGGTGAGGAGATTGTTTTATCACAATTAACCGAAAATCTGTTAGATACACCACATACTGAAGAAACCAGTAAAAAACTGATTTTCCAAAAGATACAAACAACATACATGTACAGGAACAAAACTCATCTGAATTGAAGTCAGACATACCTGCACAACAATCTCCTGAACAAAAATTGAAAAAAAAAAGAAAAAGAAAAAAGCATCCAAATCACATGGAACAACTCACGGTCCACTCGATAAATATCTTGGAACAACCCCTCAGCAGAAATCAGCAAAAAGATCTGCCACCACACCAACTGATACACTGCATGACCGTGAGAGTGGCTCAACAAAACCAAAGACATATGATAACACATAACGATCCGAAAACACATAAGCGTCCAAAAATAAAATACAACTATGAATCATTGTAAATACTGTATTATATTTTTTATTTGTTTGTATATACCTCTTTTTAGCCAGGAAAAAAATACAAAAAAAAATAAGTCAAAGTGTGATATAATTTCAGATTATATACACCTTGAAAATAGTATTTCAATAAATATGAATGAAAATGTATATACATGTAATAAATTGTGTATAAAACTTTGTACGACTTTGCCCCCAGCAGAGCTATAGAAAAACAGTACATTAACGGGTGTTACACGGACACTTTTTAGATGATACACGGACACTTTTTAGTTGTTACACAGACACTTTTTATGAATAGAATCACTCGTGCAAGATCAGTGAGTTCAAGGGCACTTTAAATTTCAATTAGATTTGAACTTTTTGTTTCACCGACATATTTTCTGTCTTTTTATTTAAAATATTTACGTTAGCATCAATAACTATATTTTTTTTCAAACAATTCCAGTAACTATTCATATTAATACACTAAGGGATTGACCATTTAACTTCAAAAGGTGGGTTATGGTTTTTTCCTAAAAAGACATTTTGATCCCAAATTTTATGAGAAAAAATATATAATATATTATATAGTTGAAAAACTAAATAATTTTCTTACTCAAAAAAGAACACACCCCATTTTGAAGCTAAATGGTCGGTCCGTAAATGTTTTTTTTTCTTCAATATATGGACATGAATAGTATTATGGACACTGCTGAAAGAAATGCTGGTACCAACGTGTATACTTCAATAAAAAAGACAGGAAATATATAATTATATAAAAAATCAAATCTAATCAAAAGATAAAATCCCTATCAACTCACCAATGCACGATTGATCCTATAAATAAAAAGTGTCCGTGTAATACATGTTCAAATAGGCAGCAAATCTGGAAGAAAATCATTCAACTTATGTCATCAATTTTGGACGGTAAGCTCTGATTGGATCATATAATGACACGTGTTTAATCCTGATCAATACAATCAGAGACATATAAAAACCTATCAACATGAACTTTTTTTTTAATCCAAAATATATGCCTATATGTATCTAATAACAAGACAAAATCCATTTTTTCATAACATTTCATTCACTAATGAGATAGGAAATTCATTATTTTGATACACTTATATTGTTATTAAATTCATATATATTGAATTCATATATTTGGCGGCAAACGTACGATTTTTACGAATTTTTTAGGGGGAATTGAGGGGGGGGGGGGGGGCTGGAATGGCGCATCCTGCATTCTTTCACCAAATAAAGGATGAAGCCTGTTTATTTTAAATTTATTTTACCCCCCCCCCCCCTTTCCCCCAATAAAAATCTAAAGGTCAGTATCTTGCTTACCTCTGAAATCTTTTTTTTATACATTACTTACTTGGGAAGTTGCATTTCAAAAATTCTCAAATGTGTATAACATTCACCTTTAACTTGAAATGGTTCTTTTTATAAAGTTATTAGATTCTTGAATTTTTTGAGAAAAAAAACTCTCGGCTGAAGGGAAGTGAGAAAAAAAAATTGAGTTTAAACTGTAACTTACATTAACTGGTATATGGCCATTTAAGTTTCTAATATCTTTAGTTTTGCTACCTCTTCTAAATGCAAAATGTACTTCTTCCTTCTTGAAACGTCGTACAAGTCAGATACAAAACAAAGGTAACTAAAAACAGGCCGGAAACAACCTGCCGTATAGTTTGTCTGCACTTGTAGTCAGGTCAAGGTCCTCGGCTATCGCCTCGGACCTTGACCTGACTACTTGGCAGAAAAACTATCCGGCAACGGTTGTTACCGGCCTGTTTCTTTGTTACCTTTGTATTGTATCTAATACGTATATTTTAAAAAAAGATGATTTTCAAATGACCCCATTATTGAATTTCGTAAAAACACTATATAAATGTCTCTGTTCTGAATATGCTTTTCAACAAATAACAAATACATGTAGGAACAAGTCAAGTTGTGATAAAACAATCACAAAAATAACTTTCTCAGGTTTAAAAAAATATATATGGAAAGCTGTATTGGTAATAAAATTTATTATGATGCATATTACTCATATTAAGAATCATAATACAATAAACATAATAATTATACATATACTTGAAGTTGAACTGTTTAAAAAAAAACACACTGGCCGCTCGAAGTAGAAATAAAGATAAAAAGAAAATATCCTTGATGAATACCAATTCATTAATCCACATATATCCAAAATCAATTTTTCTGAATATATGCTTGCTTTATAACAAATTATCCATCAGTCTCAATCCACATATATTAGAATTATTACACTGCCCTTTTTCATTTCACGTAAAAGGCATTTGGATATCTTATTTAATCCACATATTAGGAATACTTCAAAAGTCCTATTTAATCCATATGGTAAAAACCATCCCTCTATCCTCTGCAAGCCACACATTATTTGCCAAAATGTTCCTCCATAGAAATATACAAGTACCGTTTCTGCGAACTATAAACATTTCGATTGTTTCTATATTTACTGTAAATTCCTACACTTTTCACCATGTATATAGTCCAACAATTACAGCCTACTGTCAAAATATCAGACCTAAAAATAAATAACCATGAAATTATTATACATGATATAAATAAAATATATCTGTTTTCTCAATATATATATATAGTCTCCAAAAATGTAAAAAAAGCAACTGCAAAATCTAATATATATGAACAAATCAATAAAATTATGTGCTTAACTACATGTATGCATGCTTATATATGTTTGTGTCGTTATATTTTATTTATGTTTATGTACATTGTCAAGTTTGTGTTTATATTTTGTTTACTATATGTACTTATTTCACAAATAATCATGTACCAATGTTTTTATAGTAACCATAAAATCAAACAACTAATGAAAATATGTAGTGAATATGAGGTGAAACAAATATATCTTCTTTTTGCACTTATGTCAACAACACATTTAAACTTTAAATTTAACAATGGTTGAAAATCTTCATATAAAATCACTAAACTGTCAAGGTTTAGGCCAAAAAGGAAAAAGAGAAAGATTACAACTATGGACAAAAAATCAAAAATGAAATATTCTTTTCATTCAAGAGTCACATTTTATAGAAAAATATGAACAAACAACAAATAATGAGTTTGATGGTAAAATGTTTCATAGTCATGGTAACACACAATCAAGAGGGGTCTCAATCTATGTAAAAAATAATTTAAAATTTAAAACAATAAACGAGATAAAAGATACTGAAGGCAGAATAATTTTGATAAACATAGAAATAAATGACAATATTTTTACTTTAATAAATAAACAATAGTATACTTAAAGAGCAAAATTATATTGACCTCATAAATAAATTAATCGAAAACTATAAAATACAAATACTCACCAAAAATTTAAAAACACTGTGGGATATGTTTAAATCAGAGGTAAGAACCACAACTCTTATTTACTGCAAACAAAGATCATCTGAAAATAAAAATGATATAAAAAATTTAGAAATAAAATAAAGAAAATTAAATGAAAAAACAAATGAAAGCCCAATTATGAAAAAAGAAATTAAAACCATTGAAAATGAACTTGAACACCTCTATTCAAATAAAGTTAAAGGTGCACAAATAAGATCTCGAGTACAATGGTTAGAAGAAGGAGAGAAAAATACTAAATTCTTCCTGGGCCTTGAAAAATCAGGACAAACAAAAAAGAGCATTACAGCGCTAAAAGATAAACAAGGGAAAATAGTTACAGAACACGCAGAAATTTTAAACATAGAAAAATCATACTATGAAAATTTATATAAAAGCACTTCTCCGAATTTAAAAGATATTAAAAATTATATAAATGAGACCAACATTGATCACAAACTATCTGAAGTAGAAAGTGATTCCTTGGGAGGCCCCTTAACAGTAGAAGAATGCACTAAGGCAATATTTAATATGAAATTAAATAAATCGCCAGGAATAGATGGGCTAAGTGTAGAATTTTATCGCACTTTTTGGAGTAATTTAAAAGAATTTACAGTTGAAATTTTTAATAAATGCTATGAAGAAGGAGAACTAACAACCATACAAAATATAGGTATAATATCCTTAATTTACAAAAAAAAGTCCCTTTGTCACTAGATAACTATAGACCAATTACGCTATTAAATGTAGATACAAAATTCATTGCATATGCAATAGCCCAACGTTTAAAACCAATACTGTTGAAAATAATTCACAGCGATCAAAATGTTAATATCAAAAATAGATATATTGGTTTTAATATACGCCAAATCCAAGACATTATAGATTATGCTGAAACCTTTCATATTGATGGTGCATTACTTTTTATTGATTTTTCAAAAGCTTTTGATTCATTAGAATGGAGCTTTATGTATGAAGCCCTTATAAAATTTGGTCTCCCAAACTCATTCATTAAATGGGTTAAAACATTATATAAGGATATTAAAGGCTGTATGCTAAATAACGGTTGGATTTCAGAAACTTGTAATGTATCTCGTGGGATACGACAAGGATGTCCATGCAGTTCTCTAATTTTCACTATAGCAGTAGAAATTCCTGCATGCAGAATAAGGCAAGATACTGATATTAAGGGATTTCAAATCAAATTAGACTCTAAAACACATAGTTTGAAAATCTCACAATTAGCAGATGACACTACTCTTTTTTTAAAATGCAAGCAGGAAATAAGCTATGCTTTAAACTTGATTGAAATATTTGGAACACTCTCAGGTCTTAAACTTAACCGATCGAAAACAGAAGGCATATGGCTAGGCAAACTAAAAAGTTCTAAAGATAAATATGAAAATATAAACTGGAATAAAGAACCTATTTAAAGCCTAGGGGTATATTTTGGACTTAAAAAAGATGAATGTGACAGATTAAATACAGAAATAATTTTAAAAAAATCTCAAGATGCAATCAATAACTGGAACAGAAGAAATCTCACAATGATAGGTAGAATAACAGTAATTAAATCTCTTATCCTACCAAATTAAACTTTCTTGGCATCAGTTACAACTATATCGAAAGAATTTTTGAATGAATTTAAAAAACTGATTTACAACTTCATTTGGGGTAATAAAAAAGAAAAAGTTAAACGGATAACTTTATGTAAAGATTACTTGGAAGGAGGCCTCAAAATGATTAATATTGACAATTTCCTATCAGCTATACAATTATCCTGGGTCAAACGATTAACATCAAAACACTTTGCAAACTGGAAAGTTATTCCCCTTTTCTTTTTTAATACATTTGGAGAAAACTTTTCTTTATTCAACATGAATCCAGGTAGCATAAAAGCAATCCCAAACCTTAGTAAATCACTCCCTCTTTTCTACTTAGAAATAGTTAAAAGTTGGTTTAAATTAAAAAATATCTCAAACAAAAATAACAGTACAACTTTTGTTAATATAAGACAACAATACATTTGGGGCAATAAACATATAAAATTTCAAAACAAATGCTTAATCTTTTCACATTGGATAACAAACGGGATACTATTTATTAATGATAAAATCGACAAAGCAGGAAAATTTCACAAAAGATAATATTAGATAAATTGACCATTAAATATAATTGGATATCAGAACTATCTAAAATAAAACATGCAATACCAAAAGAGTGGCAAATGGAAATGAAATCAGATAAATCGTGCTACACTCAAGTTAAAACAAATAAAAAGATATACATAAAAACACAAAATAGTACAAAACTGATCTGCATTGAAAACCTTCCATCAAAAGAAATATATAAAAGCATTAATTCATGTAATATAGAGGAAGAAACACCAATTGGCTTTCTAAAATGGAAAATACATTTTAAATTAGATTCGTCAAGTTATCTATATAAAATGCTTAACTTTATATTTTATAGCTTACAAGTTAATAAATTAAAAGTATTCAGGTGGAAGTTACTTCACTTTATCCTTCCTTGTAAACAGCTATTGTATATCTGGAAACAGAAAAACGATGACCAGTGCCATATTTGCAATCAGTTAGAAAACTATGAACACTTTTTCATTACTTGCAAATACTTTCAAACTTTTTGGAAAAAGGTCAAAGTACTCCTTAATAAAATAAGAATGGGGACACAGATAATCACCTATAAAAATCTAATACTTGGCTACAAAATATATGATAAAACATACTATGACATAAATCTGTTTCTCACTGTATTAATGTTCTCTTTTCATAAATCTACATATGCATCAGAGTATAAACAACATAATGTTGATGTCTGTAGAATTTTTAAGTTAGAATTTAAACAATACTTTGAAAGTATGAAACTTCTTGATAAAAAAACAAGCAGATTTTTGAATGATGTTTATAAAAATATATAATAACCATGTTTATATTGTATCATGTGTATATGTTCTTTTTTTCAGTATCATTATATACTGTATATTACGTAAAATAACCTATATGAAATGTAAACAACTGCGAAATTTTAAGTTTCATGTGTGTGTTTTTAAAAATGTGATAAATGATCAATGATCATCAATGTTTACCTGTACAACGAACTTATTGAACATTGACCCTGTACTGTCTACTGACCGGAAAAATCCTTGATATTCAAGAATAAATTATGATTCTTTCTATAAATTTATTAAAAAGCGATGGAAATATTTCCATAACTCACCATTAGAAATACTTAGATAAGATCCTTCTGCTCTCATCATCAATACACGTGCCGTGGTATTCTTTAATCATCCGATCATCTCAACTTTCACGTGAAATATTTTGATCAAGGTTAAGGTCAACGATTAAACTATAAACAATATCGGACAATAGATAGTACAACTTCCGTAATTACTTAATATAATAAAGACTTCAAAAACAAATTGTTAAAATCAACGTATTCATTGTATAACTAACCATATTTAATAGATATAAATTTTACTGTATAATCTACCTGGTTAAACAGTAACTAATTTACAGGGATACCCGACTGAATGCTGTGAGTAGTGTAAGTTTTAAAAATAGCAGAGAAATGTGCAATAAAAGATTTATTTAAAAAAAAAAAAATATTTGATTACCTAAAATCTAATGCAAATGCTGAATAGCAGATCAAACCAAAAAGGACCTAAAGTATATAAATTTGTTCTCATCTCTACACCGGCTTTTAATTGTTCACACGAGTACACTAAAAGTAATCTAAAGACTTGAATTGAAAATGTCTCTTTTGCAGAAGTAATGCACACACAAACTATTTTTCCTTTTTTTTTTGCAAAAAGATTATTTTTTCAAGTTATTTATCCATTAAAAAATAAATTAGACTTGTGATTATTGCATATCATTTATTGATTTAAATTGTTGGGTATTGTTTTTTTTTTAATTATTTGTCAAGTTGCTTATGTTTTACACTAGGATTACGCAATGTCCTATATATTATAAGTGTTTTGTCAAATAAAAAGTTTCATTTGATTTGATTGTCAATGTTAACAAATAAAGTTCACTACATTTATTATATATGAGAAATTTTCCAACATCTTTCCCACCTCTAGTTTATTTTTGCATCATATCCAAGAACGATAAAAAATGTGTACAACAAAATACGTTTAAGATTGTAATATATTGAAATTAAAAATACATATGAATTTAATGTAGTCGAGCCATGTCTTGATTTTTTTCTTCAAGTGCACTGGTTTTTATGTACAAACTTGTAGTGTAGATATGGACAAATTTTAAGATGGATTATAAATATTTTTAATTTTAAACAATCATGTTCTGAAACTCTAGATCTAGTTTAAGGAACACGTAACCCAAGTAAAAGACCTCCATTGCCTATCGACTGAAGGTTATCTAATAAAAACATTGATTTTTCAATGGGTACGTAGTAGATTTAGATAATTAAAAGGTTTAGGAAACGAACACTACAACAAATCCAGCTCAGTAAGAAGACGATCATAGTTAGTTACAAAGTGAAATACATACATTTATAAGTACGATTCATCATAATAAGTAAATAAGAACTTTTGATTACGTATCGACTTTTGACTTATAATTTATTTAGACAACTGCTGTGATTAGACACCCGTGGACTAGCATTTCCGATTGAAGGAAATATTGTATAAGATAACCTTATCGATTTTGGGTTAGAATCAAAACGTGAGGTATAGTAAATGTAAAATTTTTAATTGACAGTTTTTTTTAAATTTTCTATCATCATGTGTTTCAAGTATTGTGTTATGATATAAATTTTTAAAATACACGTAGTAAAACTGTCCTTTTACAATTGCAGTGGTGTTAAGCGTTGTGTCCCATTTGAGAGATATATCAAGTATCATACAAATTGCTTTGAATACGTTGTGTAAAACAACAATTTGTATTTTATTGCTTTGATATCCCCAAAATAAATTAAATATTATTTCGTTATCATGTACATAAAGTTTTGGCATTTACGAATCAGTTTACTTTTAATTTCTTTCTCGTGTCTGTTTAATTCAAAGTGTAATTTTAATTAGTTTTTGTTAATATTACATACTTGTTTTTTTCGGATTTTGTTCTTTGTTCTCACATGTAAATTCTTTTTTAGATTGGAAAAGTTATCATAGTTAAGCTAAGATTCATATCAATGCAATGTTATTCTCCAATCTTTTATCCCAAACTATGTTTTAAATGGATGTTTTCTTAAAAGTTTATACTCGTTTCAAGGTATGTTCGACAATTCTAACTATTAGTCTACCAAAGAATCTGCAAACATGACTACTTGACTGATTATCAAATTCATATGGAACGAATTTCTTGCAATTATAACGTTAAGGAAATTACTGAACTAATACATGTATTATAATAAACTAAGTATAATAACCAATTTTCTAATCTAATACAAATGTTAAAGAGCAGATCAAACCAGAAAGGACCCAAAATATATGAATTTGTTATCATCCCTACACTGGTTTTAATGATCTGAATTAACCTGGAAATTGTTAACATGAGTACACTAAAAGAAATCTATATGTAAATATAATGGACATGACTTGAAAATTTCTTGTTTGCATAAGTAATTCAAACACAAACTATTTTAATTTTTTTGGGGCAATTTTTTTCCCCCCAAATAATTCATTTCATGTAAAAGCTGTCCAAAAAATAGTTCATAAGGGAATTAAAAAAAATGTCTGTTTCCAATAAAAAGTAAAACAGAATTATAGCACATCATTTGTAAATTTTCAAATGTTGGGTATTACACTTTTTTAATTATTATGTTCTACACTTGGATTACGTAATGTCCTATATATCATAAGTGCTTTGTCCAAACAAATATTTTATTTTATTTGATTTGATTTTTCATGAAGATTTCAAATGTCTTTCCCAAATTAGTTAGTTTTGGCATCTTATAAAAAGAGAAAATGCGTACTGCAAAATACAGTTAAGTTTGTTATATTTGAAATTAAAAATACATATGAATTGTATTTAGGTTCAGCAATGTCTTGATTTTTGTTCAGGTCTTTTTTTGTATATAAATTTGTGGTATAGATATGGCAAATTTGACGAAATGTTCAGATGGATTATGAGTATTCTTAATTTTTAAAATTCATGTTCTGAACATCTAGTTTTTTTTAACTCGGCACCCACGTACAAGACCAACACATAAACATTGATTTATCAATGGGAAGGTAGTACAGTTTAAATGTTTAGGACAATTAAACCACAACGAGTCTAGCTCAATGAGAAGACGGCCTTATGTTAGTTACAAAAAAAGTAAAATAGCAAAAATACCGAACTCCAAGTAAAATTCAAAGCGAAAAGTCCCTTATCAATAGCAGAATCAAAAGCTCAAACACATCAAACGAATAGAAAACGACTGTCATATTCCTGACTTGGCACAGACATATATTATGTAGAAAGGTGGATTTAATCAGGTTTTATAGCTAGTCAAAACCTCTTACTTGTATGACAGTCGCATTTAATTCCATTTCATTGAAAACAATATGTGAACAAAAGAAGCAGACATAATAGGTTAACATGTCAAAAATATGCGCTAATGGTAAATACCAATATAAAACTACTACATTTTATAGTTGGGACCATCTCAAAAAGCTCAGATAATCATTCATTGTAGTAACCTTTATGGATGTGTCTGAGATATTTTTTAAACAATAAAATAATGGACATTTATTTCATAATATACTGACGAGGAATGTGCAAAACAAGATCACTGTTTTTATAAATTATAATTATCATCATAACATTGCAATGGGTCATAGTAGTGATCAATACTGTACGTTGTTCCCGAATAATTTATTTCTCATAAAACTACAATTACATAGTTATAGAGAACATACATAATTATAACTATAAGGTACAATTTCTGCATGCATGTGCGAACAATACAATGAAATTAACTTAGAGGACTGACTTTCACATTTATAACTTCGATAAATTTACATAGTTTTTCTAATATTACAATATTTAATGAATTAAACAGTTGATCAAATTTATAGATATTAGGGTTTGACAAACAGTATTTCGGTAAAAATTTCTTTCTTTCCAACTTAAATGTTCCATAATTCATAACGTAATGGTACTCGTCACCAATGTCGTTTGAGTCACAGAGACGGCAGATTCTGTCTTCTCTCGGTATACCCTACCACCTTCCAGACTCAATCGGCAAGTGGTGACTTCCACATCTATATTTGCAAAATGTATGAATAAATTTGTAAGGCAAAGAAGAAAAATATTTTTCAAATTGAAAATTCTTTTTAAAAATTCGATAACATATAGTTTTAGGCGAGTCTGCAACAAAAGCAAAGCATTCTTGTTGGAACTGGTCTTTGAGTTTTTGCTCAATACATTTTGTCACCCATTTATCAACAAACTGTGCATGCCATATATTGGACATACCACAATTATCAAAAATATTTTTAACATATGATATCCACTTAGTTTCTTTTCCGTTATCATTATAATATAAAAATACAAGTTTGTATAAAATAACACAAATTTTACTTTCTTTTCCATTAAGAAGTCTACTCCAGAAATTAACCATTCGCAATTTTACAGACACGGTAATGGGGTATCTGCCAAGCTCTGCATACACAATGAAATTTGGAGTAGACTGTTTTAAATGTAAAATTATTTTACAAAATTGTAAATGTACACGTTCATGTATATCTATATTTTCAAAACCCCATATTTCTGATCCATATAACAGTATTGGTAAAACCATTTTGTCAAATAAATCAAGTTGACATTCTATTGACAAATTGTTTTGTCTACCTTTTTTTAAAACACTATACATAGCTTTTGTGGCTTGCTCTTTTAAATATTTTTTATTTGATAAAAAGGATCCACTTCTAGAAAATAAAATACCTAAATATTTGTATTCTTTTACAATTTCAATATCGTTGCAATTTACTGTGAACTTGAGATTTGCTGGCATTCTGCCACTCGAAAAGATCAAAACTTTAGTTTTATTTGTATTTATTTTCATTTTCCATTCTTCACAATATTCGTAAAAGGTATTTAACATGTATTGTAGATCAGTGCTATTTTCTGCTAATAAAACAGTATCATCTGCATATAAAAGTAGAAATAATTTCAAAAATACTGACAGCTCATTTTCGATATCTTGTGATATAGATTTTAAGCCAGTTATATTTTTCTGTTCAAACAAAGTTTGAAGATTATTTAAAAATATAGAAAACAAAGCAGGTGAAAGGTTTTCCCCTTGCCGTACCCCATCTCACAAGGGAAGAAATCGGATTTTTTGCCCTCATGTATAATACGAGATTTGGCAAAATCATACATATTCTGAATAACACGAAAAAATTTCCCATTTACTTCATTCAGCAATAATTTGAACAGAAGTAAATTTCGCTGTAAAGAGTCAAACGCTTTTTCAAAGTCGATAAAAGCACAATGTAACCTTTTCTTTCCAAATTTAAATAATTCAAATAAAATATGTATAGTAAAAATGTGTTCAGTCGTAGAATAATCCCTTCTGAAACCTGCTTGGTTTTCATTTAGTATACATAATTCATCAAGATAATTACATAATCTTGTGTTCAATATTGAGGTAAAAAGTTTACCCAGAGTAGATAATAACGTTATAGGCCTATAGTTTTGTGGATCATTTTCAGAGCCTTTGTTTTCAAACAATGGAATTACATTTCCTATTAACCATGCCTCAGGCAACAATCCTGTGTCAAAAATAAGATTAAATAGATACACATAGACATCAATAAAAAATTCAATAGACGAACATATATACTCATTTACAATAAGATCATCACCAGGTGTCTTATTATTTTTCAGGCTTTTTATGGCCTTCAATATTTCATCTTTAGTGATACAAGCATTAAGAAATACATTTGATGAATTTTCGTTAATATCATTTTCTAATATGTATCGATTTTCTGTTTCGTTATTTTTATTCAGATCCTTAAAAAAGGAAAACAAATCTTCAATATTAATATCATTTTTTTTCCTTCGTCTTCCTCGATTTATAATTTTCCAAAATTCTTTCGGGTTTTTTGTTCGCATCTTTTTCATTTTTGAACGTAAATTAACATTAAATGATCTAATATTTTTATCCATGGTTTTTTTATATAGAGTCTCACTACGTCTCATACGTTCCTTGAACATGCGTGAACCATATCGTTTATACAACCTTTCTGATTTTCTAAACGCCCTCCTTTCCCGGCGGCATTCTGTGTTAAACCAATCACGGTGATTTTGTTTCCCTCCCGTGAAATCATATCCATAAGTTTTCTGTACGAAGTCACCAAATGTATTTCTAGCAGAATTGAGTAAAACATCTCTTATTTCATTTACAATTTCATCAATAGTATTTTTATCAACACTTTGAACATTTTCAGATTTTGTCATAATAAAAGATAACAATTTAGATATACTTTCTTTGTCAATATTGTCTTTATATTCATTAACTTGATCATGATTCCATTTCCCAATATATGTATTATTTTCATCAGATTCTACATTTATATATACATTTGATTGCTAAGTATTACTACAATTGAGTACTAATTCAAGTGGACAATGGATATCAAAATATAAATTGCTAAAAGGTAGAACATCAAAATTTTTAACTAAATAAAATACATCTGCTGTACTTATTGCATAATCTACGACACTTGTATTCTTGCTCGTAGGTTTACCTTCTTCATCATTTCCTATCCGACCATTCATTATATACATGTTGTTATTCTTACAAAATTGTATAAGTTTTCTACCATATGTGTTTACACTTAAATCAGCACTGTGTCGTTTCCTTTGAATACCCAAATTGTCTAAGATATTAACGTTACTAAATTCATTAATATCAATTAAATTCTGTGCTAAGAAATCATCTGTGTCTACTAAATCATTAAAATCTTGTAAACTCGCTGTTCTACTATTAAAATCACCTAGAAGACAAATATACTTATTTGTTCTTTGTAACTCAAAAAATTCTAATTCTATATCTGAAAGTGCATTTTCTGATGTATATATAGAGTTTTCAGGTGGTATGTAAATTACTCCGAATATAACACTACTTTTTAAGTCAAATATTTTTTCGTCAATCCTAAACCATTGAACAAAAGGACAATCAGTTTGTAGTGGGGAAATAACATTTTCTAAATATCTCTTATAGCCAAAGGCAATACCACCAGATTTTCGATTTGAAAACTTTTTACGGTTTTTAAAATGAAAAATAAAATTATCCAATTCTACTGTATCCAGATCGTCAAGTTTTGTTTCATTAAAACATACAACATCATAATTATCAAGTAAAGTAATAAATTCAGGGTACATTAATTTTGATTTAATACCACATACATTTAATGTTAATATTTTAATCGATTTATTGTTTACTATATGACATGATTTTTTATTGGTAATTAAGTGAAAGTCCGTTCCACTGGAGTAGTCAGGCTGAATGAAACTGTCTGTTAATCCTCCTTGATCTACCTAGTGTCTACGCCCTCTGCGGGGTCCAATGTGGGATCGATGAGTTTGTCGTTGAGGCTCTCTGTGGGGTGTTGTCCTTGGACGCGCACCTTGTTTTTCATACTTCTCCTTGCCGTCGTTTGTTTCCATCTCATCGTCATCGGGTAGGAAGAATTCATTCCCATCTATAAATAGCTTATCCCGTTTCAAATAAGCTTTCTTTTTGTTTTCTTTAGCCTGTTTAAAATATGGCCATAACATTTTACGTTTGTCATTTATCTCTTTTGGGAATTGTTCCTGGATGCCATAATGAGTCCCTTTTAGTTCCTTTGCCGACGACCGAACAATTTCTCTGTCTTTGTAGTTTTTGAATCGACATACGATAGGTCTTGTTTTTAACCGACTCCCATCCTTTCTATCACGAAATTCTGTTTCCTTTCCAAAACGATGCGCTCGGTGAAAATCTACAGTTGTCTCCATTTTAAGTTCTGTATACATAAAGTTTCTAATAATGTTTTCTGTTTCTTCTATGGTTTCGTCGTTTTTATGTGGGATACCAGTAAACACTAAGTTTTCGCGCATCGACCTTGTTTGCAAATCAAGATGCCTTTCATTCAAGTTGTTGAGATCACGGCGAATATCATCTAAATCAATAACAATTACTCCATTATTAATTTGTATTTCCGAGACAGTACTTTTGAGATTTTCCCGTTCTGTTTTACTAACTTCAAAGCTGCCATCTACAAATTCCATTCCCTTTTCAATTTCGTCAATCCTTTTATTAACAGTGTCAACATTTTTAACTAAATTGTTTATAGACGACTCAAATTTTTTCAGCTTTTCGTCAATTTTGTCAAGTGTTGATAGTTTTTTGAACATTTGATCAATTTTTTGAACTAAACTGTCTATTTTATCATTTGTGTCTGGTCCAATGTTTATTGTTGATTGCGAAAGTGGAAGGCTTTGTGGGATCATATTATTACCCGGACTTTGGGATGACATGTTATAATATCCCTGCATAGGCGACATTTGGTTAAAACCCGGGCTTGGTATGGGCTGCATAGGTTGCATAGGCTGTACATATTGTTGATAAGGTGGATAAGGTTGTTTTTATTTCATAATTTACTGACGAGGAATGTGCAAAACAAGATCACTGTTTTTATATATTATAATTATCATCATAACATTGCAATGGGTCATAGTAGTGATCAATTATCGTACGTTGTTCCCAGTTTTCTTACTTTTTTGATGCGACTGTCATACAAGTGAGAGGTTTAGAGCTATAAAACCAGGTTTAATCCACCATTTTCTACACAAGAAAATGCCTGTACCAAGTCAGGAATATGACAGCTGTTATCCATTCGTTTGATGTGTTTGAGCTTTTGAGTTTGCCATTTGATTATGACTTAGATCTAGAATTTGACTATTAGGGTCGGTTGAAAACAAAACTTTACGACAAAAGAGATGATTTCAGCTATTATGACCTTTTCATTGTTAAACCAAGAGTTCCAAATGGTGAAATTGAAATCATCACTTCGTAAATTTTACGGACGCCATCACGAGTTGGTTGACTGTTTTGGAATATCCGCTTTACAGATGATATCGGATATGTTCCTTATGTCGTAACTATAATCCCGTTCCCTTTTTACTAATGTGACCTTCCGTATTAGACTATTTACCGGCTTTGTAATAACATGAGCTACACGACGGGTGCCACATGTGGAGCAGGATCTGCTTACCCTTCCCGAGCACCTGAAATCTCCCGCAGTTTTGGTGGGGCTCGTGTTGTTGTTGTACCCTTATTTGTAACATTTTGTTCACGCATCGTTGTCAATATAATGGAATTTGATGCGACTGTCGTACAAGTGAGAGGTTTAGCGCTATAAAACCAGGTTCAATCTACCATTTTCTACATAATTAAAATGCCTGTACCAAGTCAGGAATATGACAGTTGTTATCCATTCGTTTGATGTGTTGTAGCTTTTGATTTTGCCATTTGATTAGGGACTTTCCGTTTTGAATTGTCCTCGGAGTTCAGTATTTTTGTGATTTTGCTTTTTTTGACATATGCCCTGCTTCAATTCTCTATTCTATTTTCTTGTCAGACCCTTTTATAATTCAGTTTTATGCAGTTTTAGTTTTGCTCCTTGTTAAAGGCCATACGTTGACCTAAAGTTGCAAACTGTGTTTCTCTACTCATTCTGATGACAACTTTTTCATTCAATATAAATTTTTAAACTTGTTTTTGTGTGTTTGCTGTAATTCAAGAAACTACGTCTTCGGTCAATTCGGATTGTATGTTGAGTCGTGTATAATAAAATCTGAAAGCGTAATAAAAAGGTACTATTTCTGCAAAATATGACTCCAAAGTCCAAATTTTCATCCACTTCAGGCATAGGGTTTCCACTTTTTTCACCTTTGGTGAACTTTGTTAGATTTTGTATAGATTATGCATGGAAAATCCAATTTTGTGTGATAAAAAGAAAATACACCACAGAATTTAAGATAAAACGTTAGGAGATAGCTCTTATTACATGCTTTTAGATAAGAAAAAGAAAAAATGGGGTCACCAGACTTGTTGTCTTGCTACATATAAATATAGGTAAATTCACAACAATTTCTATTATAAAAATTACTTTTATCTGAGGTTTCTCCCCTTATGTGGCAAAGTAAAAAAAAAATTGAATAAAACAATATATTTCGCTTTTAAGAAAATACAGCCATACATATGATAAAACACCTAATTTTCTATATTAACATGTTAAGTCTTACACATGATTTGAACATTTCTTAAAAGATCTAGAACAATTGTTATCTGCTACAGCAAAATCTATGATGGAGGAAGACACCCCATCCACCTTAAGTGATATTTACTATAATAGTTTTTGTTTGATTGACAAATTTTATAAATTTAATGATCAAGTATGACCAAGGATTTGTATAGTGTCTTGCTATACTATAGTGTCTTGCTATACATATCCTTGGTATGACATATCGACTCTTTATTTTTTGGCTTAAATCATCGTCTTTAATATATTATCAAGGGAATACATGATATTTTCATATTCATATGAATTAACTCATTTTTAACAGTTTACAGACAAAATAAAAAGAGCAAGTAATAGTCATCAAATGAACAAATTAAAGGAAGAAACTTCTTTCAAGGTGAATTTCAACTCTTTTTTTTTAAATTGTGTGATTATCTATTAAGTATCTTTATAGATTTTGACGATTCAGGACCAAAACTTATAAATCTTTGACCTATTATCTAATTTCCTATGACGGCGCTTTACTTCACTTTACTCCTTGATACTGTTTTGGAGCCTTGGGTTTTCACATAATAATACAGTGTTTATATACTGTAACTTTCAAATGTAAAGGCAGACATTTTATCGTTTGAGGTAATGATTTCGAAATAGAAAGTAGAACTGATATGTCAGATCCTTATAAACAAAGAGTAGTGACATATATATAATGTACTTTGTTGATTTCAGCCTATTACTTACGAACCCTCAGTAAAATAAGTTGTGCCTAATGAAAAAGAAACCGACTACTTATGTATTTTTTTTTTCAGAAGTCGTTTAAAGAGAAAGTATAGTACGTCTACTGTCAGCTAAAGGAGGTGACTAAAATCAGTTTGTTGTGAGATCTGAACACTGGAATTACAACCTTATAATGATGTTGACCGGCAACAGCTATTAGAACCTTCACATCCGTGTAGGTAAAAATACATAATTTATTAAGTTTTTGGGAGGAAACAAAATGATAAACTTTATATTCTATTCAGCGTTTAATCTGACAAAACAAATCCATAACAGAATGAAACCCGAAAATATTGAGTGTTAACCATTAATAAAGAAAGGATGCTAGTATTCTAGAGTATCTTTATCTGAGATATAATAAGACTTTTATCATGAAATATTAATTGATTGACTGATATTTTCTTTAAGCCGCCTACACACAACATGCCTATGTAGCGGTGATCTCGTGAAATAAGATCGATTGAAGGCTAGTTGCTCGAAGCATGGAAGTATTATATTGTTTAATATAATACTTCCATGCTCGAAGTAATGAAAACAAATAAGATAGAAAGTAGATTATATATTCTTATCGCTTGATAAAAACTGTAAAGATAGAAAAGAGAAATACTGTGTATTCATTATCATTCGTTGAATATCAATTTTCATTGATTTCGTGGATATAGGTGAACCACGAAATTAAATGTGCAACGAATGACAAATTTCCCATTGGTTTTTATTCAGATTTGGTTAAATCACGAAATAAATATAGTTTTCTATTATCAACGATAATTGGTAATCATGAAAATAAATGAATCCACTGTAAACTTATCATATATACCAGGCTTGAAATTTCGTACGCCAATCTACAAAACACTCTTCAGTGACGCTCGAATATAAAAAGGATACGGAGTTTAAATGTTGAATTAGTCATTAGATAAAAAGTTGTTTAAAAGCCCTAATATAAATGATAAATAATAGGACAATGTTAGTTATACGTCCTTGTATAGATACATTTGGTTCGTAAACTTTTTGTAACAAACAATATAAAAGAGAATTTTAATTCAACTATAAAAACTCATCAAAGGAAAATTGCTCTTTTGAAAATATTTTATTACAAAATAAATATTTAAAACTGGAATCCGATTTCAGACTTATTAATACAGTCATGTTAAATTGATACATCCAAAGTACTTTTAAACATACAAGCATACGCATTATATCATAAATTATTCAAAACATGACTGTTAATCTTCAGCTTTACTGAAATGCTAATCCCTTTTGAGTTCAATATTTTTCAATAGATAATTGATTTAAAGTCAATTTAAGGTCAATATGTCAGTAAAATGTCAATGATAAGTTGCCTTAAATGGGTTATGTCACAGAGTTTGGTAAAATTACTTGACTCGTTCCACAATAAGTGAAAAATAGAAAACATAATGCATTTATCTCTTTTATCTTTAAATAAACAATTTCATTAATTTTCAAATTTCCTTTTCATTTGTCCTACTTATGGAGATGTGTATAACATTATAAATATTTTGTACTACTTTTTAATTATTGTCTTGCTAAATTCTTATTTTCCGAAAGTTTTCCGTATGTAGTTACCTTAAACGTTGCCACATCACGTGAGACATTCGGCAGCCTCACAGCTAATTTTTTGGACAGTCAATTCTAAAAATGAATATGTAAATTTAGAAAGCGAAGGAGTACCCTATGTATGGTGGAGAGATGTCTCCTTACTCACTATTATAAAATGACCACAAACACACATACACACACAAACACACGCACTTAAATATAATAATGCATATATATGCATGTAAAAAATAAACTTTTTGTGAGCTTCAAACTAATCATAAATGTAAATATTGCTTGGAAACACTGTTTATCTTTTCAACTACTTTTTCAGGAGAGTACAGTGGAGGGAATGGCTATTGTTGATGGGGATGATGTATAACATGGAACCACTTGTAAAAGATAATAGTAGTTTGACAGACCATTGTAGTGAACTTCTCGAGGAGGCACATACTCTTCCTCCTAATACACCAAACCACAGACGGTACCTGAAGTGCATGCTGGTAAATATATATAAGATATTTTAAATATTTGTAATTCGTTTTATCTTGATTACATTTCTGGTTTAAATAATCAAGAATTCAATGATTATAGTTTTCATATTTACCCAAGTGAAATTACTTTAAACAATTGAATATAAAAAACAAAAAATATACTTTTCTAAATTTAGATAAAAACTCTATTCCAAAATTTACGACAAAACAGTCTGTTGTTCGTCGCCTTAATTTTGCATCAAATCGTTCTCTCTACCCGTGTTAGTTGCGACGGCTTACCTTCCAAAGAACCTAATCTTTGTATAAATGGTAAGTTGTTTAGTAAGGAATTTTTGTTTCTATAAATTATTTATGATCTTTACAATGCTCTTTTATAGATACATATATTTGGTTCGGAAATTTCGCTGTACCTTTAGAAATCTTATAACAAACATCGATAGAGCATCCGTATTTGTAGATGATGTTTATAGCGGTCATATAGTTAGAATGGATCCGTGCAAATTTACTGCTTTTTTAAATAAACTATATCTGAAAGGTGATTATTACATTGAACACTGTAGTACGATCTTTGAACATTGCCTTCATCAATTCAAAATGATTTTGTTTTCAAAAAAAATATATATAAATATAACTAAAAATTGTTACGTGTCGGGGGTCCGTACCCAAGTTGATTCTCGAGATCTGAGACTTGTGTATATAGTTTCTTTTGTTAACAATACCTTTTCAACTCTCTCGGCCCTGTAAAGCTCCTCATGCTCAAATAAATATTCAGCCAAACTGGGTCACTGACACTATAGGTCAAGTAAATAGCAAGTTCCACTTGCTCACTAGCTCTGTAGCTCCTAGCTCAACAGACTAACTAGCGTTGTAGCTCCACTGGCTCACAATATTTCTATCTCAAATAGTTAGTTTAAAAGGCTTTCAATATTGTTGCTCTTTCCGCTATGTCGTTATCTTAATCAAAGAAGCTCTCTTAGCTCTTTAGCTATTCTGCTTTTCTCGATGCAGCTCACTAACACTTTAAGACAATTTTTCTCCTAAGTTCAGTTATTGGAAAGACTTGAGCAGTCGATTCAATATTTGGGATATTAAGCTGTTATGTATTCTTTCACTTAGATACGTGGGATCTCATCGAAATACCGACCCTGATTGACTGCTGACGGATGCTTATACCCCTGGATGATTGGGATATACCACTATGGGGCAATACCATAACCCTGTATTGCATAGTAACAAGGATGTTTCAACCCTGGACGAGTCCACCTTTATTGGACTGTGCAATATAGAGCATATCATAGTAACAAGGGGAGTCATTTAATTAAACGATAATATCTAATCTCAAGGAAGATATTATGGTTCTAGATGACCATGAAAATACCAATTATACTGTAATTGCTTCTCAAGCCGAGCATTCTTCATAAAAGTTCACTCATTTGCAAGTTTATGAAATAGTCAAAGATACGCATAAGTACTTGAATTGAAAAGTAGAATTTAGTCCAAAATTTTGCAAGTTATCCATTGATTAACCTTACTGTAAATTTAATGAAATGTAACTTATTAATACAATAAGTTTAAGGTAAGTATCAATTCAAATAAGGAAATTGTAACTGTACCTTTTAATTCCATTTTTTTTCTGTTTTGAGTTCAAATACAAAAGGGTACAGAAACTAATGACTTCGCCCTTTATAATGCATAGTCGTCCCAAACACATACGTCACATTACCCACGCCTCCGAGAAATGCGTTCTCGCATTTTTATGTCAGATGAAAGGATTTTCCTTGCAAAGACAGATTCATTCCTATAATTACCTTCTGAATTCTGGAAAATATATTTTCCTATTTTAACAAATTTGCGACACATTCATTGCCCGATAAAATAAGGAATAATGATCAAAATATTGTTAAAACGTTAAGCTCATTGTTGATGTATTCCCATCAATGCAGTAAGCGTTTTGTAATCAGACCTTTGAACAAACAGAACTAGATATGACCAAATGATGATACAAAGATAAAATTATTTTAATTGCGACAGAAAATACTGTTCCAACCAAATTACCGGTATGAAATAATTTTTTCTATGTAACTGCTCACGATAAGCTTAGTACTCTTACCAGTATACACAGTCACATTCAGTTTATTCAACAAAAAAGTCTTCTTCAGGTGTAATTCCACCAAATCATAGTACGTCATAACCGGTTGCATACGAAAATAGGTCGAAACAAATATTCCCTTGAATATGACAGTTGTAGGTAATTAATCCTACATTTCATTGCAGTAAAAATTTCTGGGTCATAAACATATATCTTTGGTATTTCAAAGCAACATTACTTGTTTTATTTGGGGTTTCTATAAAATATTTTGGAAACTTGAGATTACATGGTTACTAAAGCTTGTACACAGATAAAAAAGGTGTGAACATTTGATTGGTAAACTTCCAGTGATGGTTATTTTCTTATATTAGGGACTCTGAGGGATTCTGACGTTACCGACGTTATATCTGCCACAGTGCAATTTTGGCAAACCCTTTTTTCCTTATATTAAAAACAAATAACTTTTCCTCAAAAACAACACATTAAAAATTATATATAGCGAAAACCAATATTCCACAGAGTACTCTTCTACTATAGTTTTACGATAAAAGAGCACACAAAGTCCGATTTCGATGATCCATTGTTACGTGTGTATGGAACGCCACAGCTGTCTTATGTGGAACTCTGAAATTACTTTATGTTGTTTTATTATTACTTGATGATATTTTGTCTTTACTTAATATGGTTTTGACATTACGTAATGATGTTTTGATATAACTCAATATGGAATAATCATTACTTAATGATATTTCGATATTACACGATATAGTTTCGTATTGACTTGATAAAGTTTTGTCATTACTCAATATAGTTTTGTCATTACTCGATATGATTTCATCATTATTTAATGTGGTTGTGTCATTAGTCAATGTGGTTTTAACATTACTTGATGTGAATGTGACTTAACGTTATGTAGTTGTTTCATTACATGATGTGGTTTTGTTATTTTGTAATGATGATTTGCCTATTCTTTATATGGTTTTAACATTACGTAATGATGTTTCAAAATTTGACGATTTTACACTACATGATGTGTTTGTTACATTATTTGATGTGGTCCTGTCATTCTTTGATGTGGTTATCCCATTACTTGATGAGGTAAAATCACGTGACCAATTCGGAAAAACCTGTTCTATTTTTAGATAGATTTCCATGTTGTATGTGCCTTGGATGAGTGTGGTCATCCATCGAATTAGAGTTCAAATTAAAGTTCGGGTTACTGTTTGAGTTAAACTTTGAGTTAGTCTTCGATTTCGAATTCAAGTCATTATTAGAATTAAAGTTTTAGTTAGCATTGAGTTTCGAGTTGGACTTCGAGTTTGAGTCACATTTAAAGGTAGAGTTCTAGTTACAACATTAAATTTGAGTCACTTTTTGAGGTAGAGTTTGAGTAAGAATCGAATTTAAGTCTCATTAAGATTAATTAAGATTTTGAGTTGAAATTTGAGCTATCTTATATGAGTTCGCAATTAAATTTTCTATCGCGGAACAAGGACTTTTGCTCGGGCTTCCGAAAAGAAGGCTCCGGGGTATGCGTAAAAAAGATAAACAATGTTACAGTATACAAAACGCAACATAGAAGTTGAAATAAAGTTAGATGTGGTGTGATTGACAATGAGACAACTATCCACCAGAGTTTAAATGCAGTGGATGTAAGAAATCATATATAGGCAACCGTACAGACTTCAACACACCGTATAATCAGCTACAAAAGGCCACCATGCACCATGTGAAAAAATTCAAACGAAAAAACAAACGGTCTTATTTATAAATAAACAATCTACAAAAAAAAGACACACATTTATACAACGACAACAATTGAACTTCATGCTACTGACTTGGGGCAGGTACATAAAGAAAGTGCACGTGGCGGAGTTAAACATGTATGTGAGCGCTAAATCCTAACCTTACATCGGACTGTTACAGTTGTGTAACAGCACAACACGAGAAAAAAATGTAAACTAGACAAAGTGATGCCCCCGCACTCAACTCATTTAACCGCTTATACCCCAAATTGACAAAAAAAAGTTCGATTATCTCCCAAAAGAGCAAAAGATAATAAAAATAAAAACCCTGACCATATGCACACCTTCAATATATGTACAAACAGACAGTAAAGAGAAAACTTCCTAGGATTCAAACTGTAGGAGGAGTTATGCGGAATAACTATATACCCATAATGGGACGGACAGACGGACGGACGGACGGACGGACGGACAGGGGTAAAACAATATGCCCCCCCCCCCCAACTTTCAGTGAAACAGATATTCCAAAAGTTTATTTTTCAATTAGTGCGAGGTAGATCAGGGAATTCAATTGATTACAAATAAAAGATTGAGTTCAAATGATCATTTACGCTAAAAACAATTCGGAGAATTCTTATTTTATAGTATTGATGCTTTGTCGCTTAGTCCGAGCCCCCCTCCCCCCGTTTCCCTGTAACTTTAGTGTGAGTTGATTTGAAGTGTTTCGTTTGTTCACAATAAAGTTCAAGTCTGTTGATTTGTGTCGAGCCTGCGACATCAATGTAGCGGCAGTGAGACACAACAAACCTATATTTCGTCGTCGATTGTGGCGTCGGCGTCTCCATCTCCATTTTTTTTATTTCTATTGAGTTTAACCTTTCATTATACATGTTACTAAACATGTATGCCATCATAGTTTTGTACTTTTAGAATATCATACCGATAAATGTATAGATAAATGTACAGCCGATCAACATGACGCTTTTACACTTACAGCAGCAATATCAGGCGAGACACAGGGTTCCGTGGAATATTTTACAAATTTATTACAAAAAAACTGCTTCCGTTTAAGACCTTATGATAAAAACAACAGGACCAAGTGGTTTGGGGATATCCCAATTATGTCCGAAATACTGTAAACTTTTTAATACTCTTTTTTCTTATTTTTGTCTGCC